CTCAAGCTTAGCAGTTTTAATTGGCTAGCACGATGATGGGTGACTCCGACGATCACTGACTGCACATACTTTGGCACACCGAATTTCGTATGCGTGCTAAGAACGCTAATCCACCAATCATGGTGTTTTCGGCTACTGCAGTATGAGAAGGGACGTACTTCGCTTAATACATTTTTCATGTGGCATCCGGTGGTGCCTGAGTGAAAGAACTCGGTGAGTCACACATTTTGGTGTTGGATGCGATGTGAAGTGGTCGATAACAAATAGTGTTTACTTCTTTCAACCTACGTACTTGTTTCTTCTTGTTGAAAAGAGCAATTTGTTTCATACAGCCATCCTGCTTTGTTGTTAGTTCAAAGTAACTTGAAGCGTGAAAGAATCCTTTACCGACGTTTGGATCACCCACTTTGCTCTGACCATTCACCAATGTCTCCTAAAAGCTAGAATATTTGTCAATCTCTCGGTCCCTAAATGTGCACTAAAACCGAAATGAAAAAGGAAACTAGAGTACCGATCTGGTCACCAAGCTACAGTACCGTGGACAACTTACTAAAACAAACCAAGTGATTTTCAGGGCTGGACGGCTGATTTGTGCCCGTATATGTTTGCGTTGCATTTTATTTGTTTCCTCAACTTCCGCTCAGCCAACGGATATCAGGGTTGTTAATGAAAGTCGAAAGTTTTCGATCAACACACTTCGTTCACTCTGCTTCTTCCCTTTCTGCTGTTCATGTTGACCAGGTTCACCGGCTGCTGGACTGCCCTAAGCCACGAAGTGATACTTAACATGTAAACCACACCTGCTATGGACGTTGCATGCGCTGGTTGATGGTCTGACATTTCGCGTTATTCCGTCAGCTGGGATCTCTGCTCTGGCTGTGATTAAACTGTTCATGAGAGATGCAGATGTAAATGTAGATGTGTGAAATCAGGTGTGTCTACTTCTAACTCACTCGAACATAGTGTGTATGGACAGCATCACTTTCAACCCCTATATTGCACCGCGCTATCACTTGTTCAAATTTATTTTACTGGGACGGCTGTGTTGACGTTATGCCAGTATGCCAGTGAACGGTAAGACTCAGCAGATCTTCTTACCATACTTTCAAATTCAGGCGATGTTTAAACGATTTCCTTCGAAACTCGTCGACACCCTTTCCTTTGCATAGTGAGTCTGATGACCGCATTCCTTCAAAACGAATGCCCGTCAAATTTAGGTGACCTTTGGTCGTCATGACATCGCAACTGCTGGGATGCGTAGACTGTCCACATCAATCATGCCGTACGACCCCATCATTCGCCTGATGGTACATAAGCGGATGAAGGAAGTAAACAGAGCAGCAGAATTTTGAAAATGACTCAAAAATGACGTTATGCATATAAATATGAAATCCTTAAGTCAATGTTTTTTACGGCGGTTTCATTTTTCTGATGCAGCTTTTCGGCTACATCTAGGCAATAATACGACGACTCTAGAATGTTCCCAGTCGTGTTCGCTCCTGTAATTCGTGTTGTAAGCTCATTAATAAAGTTCATAACTGCTTGTTGGTCAATGCTTGCACGTGTTTATCATGGTTTGATCACGTTGTTGACCTCTGCAATCAATCATCTGAGCTGATACATCAAATATGTCACATGCTATACGCTCATGTAGGCTGTGTCGAGCTGCTCAAATCATCCAATCAATCGCTGGATATTGTCGAATGAACTGCACCTCACTATATCAAGAAAATCTTGCAAAGCAACTAGTTTTTCTGGTGCTGAAGTGCAAGAAGGATTACGGCATGCGATGACAATAAGTAAGTCCGCTTTCCATCCGACCCCTGTGGCGCTTGAACCTGCAACTCAACTATTACCGGTCTGTGGTTAAGGTTACTGGGCTACGTGGGATGATAACGATCATCGTCACTGTTACTAGATATGATATAGTGGCGCTGACTACGGGATACGCATTGCTCATAGTTCGTTGGTGTGTCTCACATATATTCGGGAACATACCACTTTCATTCCCGAAAGGAAGAAACAGCCGCCCGTTGCTTTTTCGGGCGTGCGATGTGACTTAATGTCTAAATTTACCTACGCCATTCAAATCCCCCTACTACTCCTTTGTAATAAGCAAGTAATTAGGACATTAGTTATCACCTCGAATTGTGACACAATCACAGTCTAGGTCACCGAGAACCTGAGTAGAAAGTTGGTGCCCAGTACCTCATAAGAACATAGACTGCTTCGATAGATCATTAGCTGGGGCTTCATAGTCACTGCTTTTCCAACCAACATGCCGAAAATAGTGTCGAATCGTGTTGGGTGGGTTGGTAGCAGCCAAGCACTACACTCCTAGACAAGTGCTTCCATGGATGTGTCGTGTCTACCTAAGTGGCTGTAGTGAACATTTCAAAAACAAAACTAATGCTTCCACTGTGCTGTAATTAAAAACTGCGATTAGCACTAAGCGATTTTCAAGCTTATCTGTTCACGGGACATTCTGCAGAAGCTTAGATTTGATTTGTTATGGGATTTGTAGGTAGATACAGCAGTGTATCGAATGCGGTATGGAGTCAGTGTGTTTGCAAGTTTCTACCCCTAACGCCGTGACTCCTAGCACTAACTGACTGCAGCATGGATGCCTAGCCATTGTTTGGAATGTGATGATTCTATCAAGAACACAATGAGGTGAAGCAACTGTCCACACCTGTACTACTTGTGCAACGTCATGCATCTGATTGCCACAAACGGGCTTTCTCAACCACGGGCACAGTTATTCTTGGACCCGTGGAAATATACGCTAAGGGATCTCTATATTAGCTCGCGTTCGTAGTCTGCATACTACACTTTGTACTCAGTAGCAATGAATCCCTCCAGACTTAAAACATTTTAAAACTGATCACGGCGGTGGTCCATTCCTGAGCAAATGGGTTCCCAACGTCTTTGCTTATACCGTCTTCATTCAGCTGAGGGAGCGCAGCAGAGGTGACGTCAATGAATTCGCGCCGCTGAAACTCGCCATGGCCTGGATGCACAAGTCTGCCAATAGTGCAGATTTTCTCATCCTATATGGAGTTCTGCAACGACCGTTTGGTAATCTAGATTGTAGGGAACACCCAGTACTGTCGAAAGCACACCGCTGTTTCCGTTCATAAGACACCGTATACCTTATGTTTTACGTATTCTTTGGTGCACCCTTAAATAACCACTGATGACAAGCTGGGAAAGTAAGAAAGGAATTCCGTGATTACCTTGCTGATGATTAGAGTGAAAATATTGAACATTCTCGCTTAAGTCTAGACAGGAAAACATTTGTCCATTCCTCATACCCCCAGTGACCAACATTTCAACTAATCCATAGTTCAAGTGGAGGTAAAAAATTTTGTTTGCAGGTGTGGACCTTTTCTCGTGTTTCTGTGAGTTCTGATGCAGTCTGTCAATGTTAAATACCCATAAAATTCCTAAGTTTCAGTAGCTGTAGATTTTGACATAATGGAAACTGTCCGTATTGCCTGACGTAACCCTAGGCTAGCGGGAAGCTGAATTTGACCGATACCATAACAGAAGATGAACATAACCAATGACTAAGTATGACACACCTCTATTAAACGCGACCCAAGATGTTACAACGTGCTGCTTACCAATGCCCCAGGACTACTTTAGATGCAAAAAGGGTAACGGTTCTATTGTTCTGGTTCGGGTCAAACTTAACCTGCAGGCTGTGACAAATCTGGAATAGGTAGTTAGACTTACAGCTGAGAAGCAACTATGTTTCTAGTTATCTGTTATGTGCATTGTCTAGTAGTACACTTCAACGATGGAACAGTCACTGGCCGACCCTGAAGCTGCGGTTTACGAGTAACTGTGCTTGATTGAGATTCGTGTTACTTTGTTTGTGTTTCAACTTCCTGCTTCACCGGCTCCCCTATGGGTCACTACCACATAAGCCCCAGGTTTCTGTTACATAGCGGAACCTAACGTTCATCCACTGTGTAGCTTGGAGAGTGATCAACATCAACAATATCTCTGCCATCACGCGGACGATCTTGGAATACATTTACTGGAGACTGGAGCGTTCACTTGCTTTATATGCAGTTGAGATGCGTTCATTGGTTTCCTGATACGACACTGATAAGAAATGTTCGAGCTCGCGCGCATGTGTATTCATGGATCCTTATAAAACTGAGTTTGAGTGTTAACCATACTCGGAGGTATCATCGACGACGAACCATGGTCCAGGATGCTAAACTATAAAGAGACGGACTGGAAAGGGAATTGCTTGCCCATAGTCAATTCGTTTGTGCTGGCTTGCGTTGATAGGTAATAAGGAAATTTACACTAGCGTTTTTATGCTCGCAAACCAGTCAGGCAAGTTATTGAAATGTGGAAGGACGGATCTTGTTACATTCAACATGAAGACTGCTGGTAGCCGTTCACCTCCGTGGTTTGTCCAACACTGAATTGTATTGAAGTAGCTGTGCAAAGTCCTTACAATAAATAAAAATAAAAGTATTAGGGGGACATTTCGCTTTCGACTCTACAAACCAAGTGAACCAGCATGCAATTATATACCATTATAAAGTAATTCGGGCAAAAGCCGAAACAAAGGGATATCAAGCAAACGACAGTTGCAAGTTTGGGCTGAGCTATTATCTTGTGCTCTCATTAGAGGAGGAAATATTCAGAAGCCTGAGTGGAATCTGTGTGGATAACTAAGGGTTCAATAATGGGTGGATTTGTTGATGGTCCATCACAGGTCTAGATGCACCCGCTGATGCTCATTAAACTGGTCCAACTGAGACCGAAAGCCAACATTTTGACAGCACCAACACATCTATTCTCTTAGTCCAGTTTTCGGGTTTGACGATTGCCACTATTTTAGGATCCAGCCATTATGGTGATGACCGTAACTCCCTCTTGACTGAGTGTGAATGTGACGAACCTATATAGAATATTCATTTCCATTCCCCACTTTCACTAATCCCTAAAAGGTTAGTGGTTGCCCAAACTAACTTATGATGTCATCGCACGCTGGCGGTCCAGCAAAGAGAAGTGCGCAGCTTAGTGGCCAAATTCTTTCCTCCATGCGTCATAAGCCCACATTGCGTTGGAAGGCGCACGTATTTGTGTCATATCATAATCAGTTCCTTAACACGATGGTCGCCGCGCGTCTCTGTAAGCCCAGTGGTCTCAACCGCCGGCGCGTATGCGTTGAATCGCGGGTTCTGGCCTGACACGGGAGACATGGGATGCGCACTGTTGATGAATCCCGAAGGGATGAAACGGCCGTACAGTGCTTTTCCGGATCTACATTGTCTGCCTGTCGGTCTTTATGTGGCTGTGCCGAATCGCCATCGACACGCTGAAAGTCGAAGTTAAGGCCTGCGCCGATGGAACGGATGTGATGGTGTCGTCGAAAGCTTGGCTTTCAGTCTCATTTCGGCCAGTTTGTTGAGCATCGGTAGGTGTATCCAGACTTGTGATGGCCCATCAACAATCCACCCATCACTGAACCCTTAGTTATCAGCATAGATTCCACTCACCCTTTTAACCATTTTCTCCGCTAATGGGAGTACTTAAGATGATATCTCAGCCCAAGCTTGTGCTTTCTGGCTGATGCATATCACTTTGCTGCGGCTTTTGCCAGAATTAGTTTAAGATGTTATGTAATTGCTTACTAGTCCACTTGGCCCGTGGAAGCTCTGGTGTCAGAAGCGCAGCGCTTCCCACCATATACGACAACCGTTTCCGCCGCAAGCGTTTGCAACATGACAGCTTCAGGATCCCTATCCAACATATTACATGATACCGGCATCTCTGTGGTAAGTTATTTCAATTCTTTTGTAAAATTGCCCATTCTTTGTTTTTGCATAAGTCAATCAGTAAATCACTTACTACCGCTTAGCATAATCGCATCAACAGACACTGTTCATTAGGCAGCGAACATATTCTCTGAACTAAGACAAGTTTATAAATCAGTAAACCTCCACAAATGTGTTCGCTGTGACCGACGGTGATGACCTCGGTCCAATACGAGCGTGGTGTCTGTACCGATAGTATGCATCATTGATGCGCCTTGAGAAGGCGAGGCGAATTTTTGCAGTCCAGATGTTTATGACTTATCTTCCCGGGGTAAGGTCACTCAACTTGTATTCATACTTCGAGGAGGCTCGGATTGCTGTATTAAATAAAGTCAGCGCGAACCAGGCTGAGATGCATTACACCTTTGTGGATTAGCGAGCTAGGATGTTACTGTGGTGAATAATCGCATCTTTCAGTAGGAGCGAAACATTCATTATCGAAGTATGTTTCACAATATATCTCAGCTACCTGGTTGGCTATATGGTGTATGTGGTATGCTAGCACATGGATTGTTACCCACGGCTGGCTAAACAGTTGATCGTTTCAGCAATCGTTTATGCAAGGAATTAAATATCCAAATAGAGCTCAACGCCAGCAGTCCTTGCCCATTACTGTTCAACTTGGCTATCACGTGTCCCATTTGAAAAATCATACAAACGCTTAGTAGTAGTGGTATTAGGTTATAGCTTTATATTTGGTCCTCTACCTACCCAACCAGGTCTACTAGACACACTTTTAGTAATATGTTTCGACCTACTGGGGCTCTTCCGTGGTGCGTATTCCCTTGGTCCCCTACTGGGGATGGAACCCATGACCGCTATTGACGTGGAACACTAGCCAGCAGCTTGTGCCACTGTGCCATGAGGGACGATAGCCAACCAGCACGGATTGGAATGTACCTGTGAAATAACCCGACCACTGCCATGCAAGTTGCAGCCTATGCAGATGACTGTGCTAAGTCCGGCGGGTCAGGACAATCTTTACCATTGGGGGGAATCCGCACATCATTTTCGGAAGTGGTAGGGATTAGTTAATGCAAACTTCCGATTCACTGATGCTAGATTTGTCCCCTGAACATGGTGGGGGTCACATTAGAGTGCATTTCGCGGGCAGACTTCTTGTCTGCTGATTTCTTACACCAATCCGCTCACTCACTGAAAACGTGATGTATGTACGTCGGTGCGCATAGTTTGGCTTTGTTTCCCATCTAGCCGGCCAGCAGCCTAATGGGTCACAGGCGTGCCTTGCAATTCGACAGCGTGGGTTTGAGCATGAGTAGGGGACCGGGCGTGCCTCGCAATACCAGTAGTCCACGCACAAATCTTGGTAATTGCGCGGTAGAGAAACATCGGTACCACGTACCATCCTAATGCTGATATCTTTCTCCCCACATAGACGGACTGCAATTGGGTAAATGTTTTCCGCAACCGTGGACTGGACAGATCATTCGGAAGAGAAACTGCAAACGCCCATGCTGTAGGCGATTCACTGAGTTGCCTTTCGCTATGACGGCTGACACCGGAGTAAATATTTGCTTCGGCGCTTTTCGACAAATCCACAGCAGACTGCTCAAAAGTACACTGGACGTAAACATTTGTTTCAACACCGTCTGTGGTCATCCGGGAGTAAATAAATAAATAACTAAATAAATAACTGATGTATTTCTCGACCTTGTGAGATACAGACCGATAATATGGCCTGATCATTTTGTACAACGATTCCGAATAATGAAGAAACTTGTCCGAATTTTTCAGCGCTCCAAACGGAGTGCTAGAAATGTTCTATTATGCAAAAGTAGTAAAAAATGCAGAAGTTCTAAACGAAAATAATTGTAGACATGGCAGGCAGTTCAAGTAAAGTAATACGACCATTCAAAAAACCGTCTCCTTGGGACCTGCTTTCATGCGAGGTAATCACTCGAATAGTTTCAACGTAATTCGACTTCTTATCTGGCCATATGCGAACATGACTCCCAACAAATGACTCATAATCATTTTTGGTCAGGCCGCTGTTTTAAGCTATTGGGCGTTTCAACAATTTGACAATTTTTTGGCCTCGGTTATATGTAATTAGGTGGTCATCACGCTCAATGGTTAGATGCTAGGAATAATTCCCAATGCAGCTGTTTCGAGTCACTTACTTTTATATTCGCCTGTGTGCATATTGCAATGCGCCTTGCGAGGGTATAGTAGATAGCTTGGAAGCTTCAATCTGTCACCTAACGAGATTGGCCTAGCCGTGGCCAACAATGTTAAAAGAGAAAAAAGAATATAAACGGAATGAAAGAACAGTAACGGTAGGCGAATGGCTTCTGTCTGACGGTTGTTCCATTCCAATTGTGCATAAGGATCGTATAAATTAAATAACCTCTCCAAGTATTCATAACAAAATGAGAGGGCTCAAAAGAAGCTTGGGATAGCTCTGGCAGCTGCAGGCCGTCGAAAAAAGAGATGGATGACACAAATTCACCTTGTAGAGCTATGAGAGTTGTGACAGTTACCCAGCTTTTGCCTCCGGGGGAACAAGAGGGAACGCATAGAAGTGTAGAGCAAGTGGAGATAAAAAGTTCCAATTTGATCTGATTGGACGTGAGGTTAGGCGGATATTTATCCGGCTGACCCTGGCACACATCCATTTAAAACTGCACCCAAATGAGTGCTGCCATACTAAACTACAGACCATTCCTTTTGAATACGAGGGTGGTTCTAACAGGATGACAAGTTTATCGTGTGAAAATTTTATAGGCCTCCTGAACATTAAAAACATAGCTCCTCGATCGTTGTCTGTTGTTCAAACAGTTTAGCCGCATTGGGTAATGAGAGAAATGGATTTAACTCAGTATTTAGCTGAACGATAGATTAGCTTGTTCTTACTGAGTTTGGCAGTCAACTCCAAATAACGGAGTATCGAACTGCGAAAAATTCCACGCAAATATACAACATGAATAAATTTTGCGAAGAGTAACTCTTCCAATCTTTAGATTGCAATCATCAAAATCCCTAAACTTTGACGGTCTACCTGAGCAGTGGTTGAGACTGTGAATCAGCTTGCAAATGAAAGCTAGCATCATCTTTAGTCTTCGTGGCCGTAGAGGATCGATCCTCAGTAGTTTACATCTATCGTGATATGCCGCTATCCACGATTCACTCATAAGACTTTAGTGCATTTCTGCTGCAAACGCCCCAGTGATAGTAAATCACTCTTGCGTATGGGACTATATATGATCGGGCAGTACTCCAAAATTGGGCATGCGTAAACCAAATAAGGAGCAAGCTTCGCTTTGGTTGAGGTTATTGAGTTGTTGATTATGCCTAAAGAGCGTTTTGCCTTTGAAAACTGTTGTTGAGCATGGATTGGGCAATTTAATAAGTTATTATTGCTTGCTCCCACGTCCCGGATGGGCTGAGTGCTTTGGATTGATTCCCCATATGCAAGTAAGCTGCCTGTCGGAATGCTGTATATGTGACAGAAGACGCGGAACTTGTGTACGGAGAATTTAAGCAACCGTTCATTTGACTATAGCTCAAAGGAATTCAGGTCCGTTTGTATGGCTTTGCTAATTATCTGTATACGTTCAGGTGAAAAAGTATAGACGACCTTCATATTGTCCGCAAAAGGAACTGGTTTTCCATATTTAACTTTATCGAAAATATCGTTCACATAGATGAGGAACGGAGCGTGAACAAGGACGCTAACTTGCAGAGCTCCAGGTGGTTGTTACTGCGGATTATCCAGTAAGGCAGTCAATGTGCGCCGCTCCAGAAAGGAGGTACACAATGCCAGGAGTGAGTCAAGGACGCCAGATAATTTCCGTTTTAACAAAAGCCATTTATGATGTACACAGTCGTACGCTTTGTGCATATCGAGAAAGATCACGGGTGCCGACCTTTAGGCCTATATAGCAGATGTGTCGTGTTCCCGAACATTCAACTGTCAAGTATTGCATGACCACCTACTCAAAAATCTGTGGTGTTGATCACTTAAGAGTCAGTGTGTTAGAAGATGTGCAACTAGCGACCTTTTGTTAAATTTTTCGCAGAATCTAGATATGATGGAAGTGTGATTAGTGGGGCGATAGTCGCCCAATTCGTCTCTTGCACTGCTTTTGTGCGGGTAATGATGAGAGAATGTTTCTACTGGGGTGGAAATTGACTACGGTTTAGAGAAACGCTGTGCATGATAAAAGCTAAGAGGGGAGGGCTTCGCCACCATGTGTGAGCATAATCGGGGGAAACGCTGTCCGGCCCTGCATGGGTGCAGAGTCGAGCTGATTTGAGGACGGATTTAACCTTCAGGAGTGTTGTGGATACCTCCGAGAGTATGTACTCTGTGTCATTTGTCTGATTGACATTAGTAAGTTCGGGCCCATTCATGGGAGAAGAAGCAAGATATTCACTGAACGCTACACATATACAGAGCGGTTCAGTGATATTTACAGCATTGTGTCTAACTGGGCTTGGGGAATCGGCAGGTGTGCATAGGGATTCCTGACTGTAGCAGCTGTGTGAGCGCAGGCATCTTACAGCAATTGGAAATTGCCAGTAGCTCTTTGTCGCAACATCTTTTCTGTAGAGACTTCTCTGCAAAGACTTAATTTGCGTAATAA